TTTATATTATTATTTAATAGTATTATTAATAATTCAATAAATTAAGAAATATTAAAATAAATATGAAAATATTACCTTAGACTCATTTAAATGACATAATTGTATTGTCTTCAAACGTTCATTTTGTTTTGGACTCATAAAAAAATTAATAAGTTGTTTTGCACGTGCTATTAAGATTTCAACTGGTATTAAACCTTTATTTACTATAAGGTTTAATGTATGAGCTGCACAAGAAATCTGAAATATATTAGGTAAAAAGTTAGAAGCTGCAACCATATTTTTACCATTATCAGTAGTAATTAAAGATGGTACAGCAATTGATTTCAAATTTACAAAATGTTGCAACATAAGCTAAAATTAGTTGTAACATATGTTGCAACATTATAAGTTGCAACATATATAGGTTAAAATTAATTGCAACGTAAGTTGCAACATTAAAAGTTGCAACATATTAATTACAGTTCCTATCTTTAGTAGTAATACAAATAAATTTTTTTTCTAAACCCCATTCAGAAATTAGATTTAATATTGTTTGTGCAATATTTTGACTTATATGTGGATATTCTATATATTGACATGCTAACATTATTTCTTGTAATTCAAATTCTTTGTTGATAAATAAACATGTAATATCAATATACCTTTGACAATCTCTAGCAGTCCATAAATCTGTTGTGATTGAACAGAATTTTATAGTATTATCAAATAAATTTAGAAGTTTTTGTTTAGAATTATTATATGTAATAAGTTTTTTGATATATTTGTCACTTGGAAGAGTATAATAAGAATCAAGAGTTTTGATTAAATTAATAAATCCTCCATTCTTTAATATATAGAGTGGTTGCATATCATTAATTAAAAATTCTGTTAATGCTTCATCACACTCTTGCTTGTGCTTAGGATTTTTTGCCCACTGTTTTTGAAACATTACATCAATTTTTGTTTGAATAGGATTATTATTACTTTCTTTTTCAAATCTAAGTATACTATGATGAGCTTCCAAATAAGACCAAAAATTACTAGTTGATCCATCTGTATTAATTATATGTCCACATATTTTTACATCTTTGCTTGTTCTAATTTCTACATTACAAGAACCTTTTTTGTGTTTAGGTTTTGGTGGATCAAGTTTATTAAAATAACGCTATATATCTGTTTTATCCTCAGCTAAAACTCTTCTTTTCTTTCTTTTACTTGTTTCTATACCAACTGTACTATTAGTTTGAGCAGAATCACTAATATTAG